TAGCAAGAGCACCTCCCGGCATCAAAACAGCAAGGCACGGAAGGACGAACAGGCCACAGAATCGCACCGAAAAAGTGCCTAACGTCCCTTCTGAATTCCTCGAAAAAATGTCTTTTTCCCAACCTTTTCCACTTTTTCAATCTCATCAGCTCACCTGCTGCTGCTGCTGTTGCTGCTGTTAACAGAAGAGTAGCAAGAGCACCTCCCGGCACCAAAACAGCAAGGCACAGAAGGACGAACAGGCCCTAGAATCGCACCGAAAAAGTGCCTAACATCCCTTCTGAAATCCTAGAACTGCTGCTGCTGCTGCTAACAGAAGAGTAGCAAGAGCACCTCCCGGCACCAAAACAGCAAGGCACGGAAGGACGAACAGGCCCTAGAATCGCACCGAAAAACTGCCTAACGTCCCTTCTGAATTCTTAGAAAAAATGTTGCAGAACAGAAGAGTAGCAAGAGCAGCTCCCGGCACCAAAACAGCAAGGCACGGAAGGACGAACAGGCCCTAGAATCGCACCGAAAAACTGCCTAACGTCCCTTCTGAATTCCTAGAAAAAATGTCTTTTTCCCAACCTTTTCCACTTTTTCAATCTCCCATCAGCTCACCTGCTGCTGCTGCTGTTGCTGCTGTTAACAGAAGAGTAGCAAGAGCACCTCCCGGCACCAAAACAGCAAGGCACGGAAGGACGAACAGGCCACAGAATCGCACCGAAACCGAAAAACTGCCTAACGTCCCTTCTGAATTCCTAGAAAAAATGTCTTTTTCCCAACCTTTTCCGCTTTTTCAATCTCCCATCAGCTCACCTGCTGCTGCTGCTGCTGTTGCTGCTGTTAACAGAAGAGTAGCAAGAGCTCCTGCCTAACGTCGCTTCTGAATTCCTAGAAAAAATGTCTTTTTCCCAACCTTTTCCGCTTTTTCAATCTCCCATCAGCTCACCTGCTGCTGCTGCTGCTGCTAACAGAAGAGTAGCAAGAGCACCTCCCGGCACCAAAACTGCAAGGCACGGAAGGACGAACAGGCCCTAGAATCGCACCGAAAAACTGCCTAACGTCCCTTCTGAATTCCTATAGAGAAAAAATGTCTTTTTCCAAACCTTTTCCGCTTTTTCAATCTCCCATCAGCTCACCTGCTGCTGCTGCTGCTGTGCTGCTGCTGTTGCTGCTGTTAACAGAAGAGTAGCAAGAGCACCTCCCGGCACCAAAACAGCAAGGCACGGAAGGACGAACAGGCCACAGAATCGCACCGAAAAACTGCCTAACGTCCCTTCTGAATTCCTAGAAAAAATGTCTCTGTCTTTTTCCCAATCTTTTCCGCTTTTTCAATCTCCCATCAGCTCACCTGCTGCTGCTGCTGTTGCTGCTGTTAACAGAAGAGTAGCAAGAGCACCTCCCGGCATCAAAACAGCAAGGCACGGAAGGACGAACAGGCCACAGAATCGCACCGAAAAAGTGCCTAACGTCCCTTCTGAAATCCTAGAACTGCTGCTGCTGTTAACAGAAGAGTAGCAAGAGCACCTCCCGGCACCAAAACAGCAAGGCACGGAAGGACGAACAGGCCCTAGAATCGCACCGAAAAACTGCCTAACGTCCCTTCTGAATTCTTAGAAAAAATGTTGCAGAACAGAAGAGTAGCAAGAGCACCTCCCGGCACCAAAACAGCAAGGCACGGAAGGACGAACAGGCCCTAGAATCGCACCGAAAAACTGCCTAACGTCCCTTCTGAATTCCTAGGAAAAAATGTCTTTTTCTTAACCTTTTCGGCTTTTTCAATCTCCCATCAGCTCACCTGCTGCTGCTGCTGCTGTCGCTGCTGCTAACAGAGTAGTAGTAGTAGTAGTAGTAGTAGTAGTAGGAGGAGTAGGAGTAGGAGTAGGAGTAGGAGTAGCAGCAGCAGGAGCAGGAGCAGGAGCAGTAGCAGTAGCAGTAGCAGTAGCAGTAGCAGTAGTAGTAGTAGTAGCAGTAGCAGTAGCAGTAGCAGTAGCAGTAGCAGTAGCAGTAGCAGTAGCAGTAGCAGTAGGAGTAGTAGTAGTAGTAGTAGTAGCAGTAGCTGGCGGTGGCAAACTCTTGTCTCATTCCCTGGCGCGCTCCCCCTTGCGTCAGCCGGGGTCGGCGGATATATATATATATATATGTATAAATATGTGTATATGTATGTATATATAAATATATCATACGTATATACACATATATATATATATACGCGCAACGCCTGGGCTTTGCCCCGGCGTTGCAGCGTAGAGGGTCCCCATTCCCAATCAAATGTTGTTGCAACTCTGCATTCCATTGGGAAGATCAACAAAGGTACTAGGGAATATTAAACTCCCACCCCCGTTCAACTTTACATTCAATTGGGAAGATCAACAAAGGTACTAGGGACTATTAAACCCCCCACCCCTGTTAAACTTTACATTCAATTGGGAAGATCAACAAAGGTATTCGGGAATATTAAAGTCCTACCCCCGTTAAACTTTACATTCGTTGGAGATCTTCAATAAGGGTTTAATTCTCCCACCCCCGTTAAACTTCTACATTTATTGGAGATCTTCAATAAGGGTTTAATTCTCCCACCCCCGTTAAACTTCTACATTTATTGAAGATCTTCGATAAGGGTTTAATTCTCCCACCCCCGTTAAACTTCTACATTCATTGAAGATCTTCAACAATGGTTCAATTCTCCCACCCCGTTAAACTTCTACATTCATTGAAGATCTTCAATAAGGGTTTGATGATGATGATGATGATGATGCGTTGCCTGTCGTGGTTGCGGTTCCCGGCAAAGCCCAGGCATTTGCCGTATATATATATGTATATATATATGTATATATATATATATACATATCTATTTGCATAAATGTATTATACGAAATGCGAGGATAGCCAGAGTGAACTGCGGGATGTTTAGTGCTGGAGCTGTGAGTCGACACAGAGCCTGCTCAGGGCTACCAGTGCTGGCCGCCTGGCGTGGGTTTTCCCAGCATAGCTTGGCAGGCAATGCACTTTTTTTTTTCCCTCAATCGCTTCAAGTTTCTCAGGAAGTCCTACAACCGCTCTACCGCCTTGTGGTCTTTTTGGTCTTTTTATTTTCTTTTATTCTGCAGCAGAATTTGAGGACAGTTGGTGACATCCCAAAAGTTGCCGCCTTTTAGATATATTTTTGTCCCATGCTGTTGCATCTGAATCTTTATTTGCTGGAAACCAGGCTGTCTCCTACTTACTGCGATCTTAGCGACGAATGACAACAGCTCTATCAAAAGAGTATAGGTCAAGGATGGTTCTATTCTGCCACAAAAAAGTGTACCAAAGGGATCTAAAAGGCGACTACGAGGCTAGATTCGCGCCGAGAGTCCAGGTTCGTCCTTTTGTATTGGAGAGGGATGTTTAACAAATATGAGCATTTTTGCTCTATGGCCAAATCATTGTGCTTCGTTTTTTTTTCATATTCCATGTTTGCTGTAGTCTTGTGGGACAAGAGCAACATAGCCTTGCATTGCAGTGTCTTCTTCATAGCAGCAAGTAGAACAAGAGTGCCATGACATATAGATGGATGAACTATGCATGGTTCATTGATGTTTATTGCAATCAATTCCAATTTCTTCAACTTTTCAACACACTTGAGCCATGTTGTCCTTGAGGTGCCATGCCGCTTCCTGTGCGGTGACTCCCTACGGCTGGAAGGGGAGGTGCTACGAGAGGGACTACCAATTCGAGATACTTCGAGACTGGTCTTAACAAAACAATGACATCCGGCACATCTTCGAAGCTTTCTATCTCAGAGTTTGTTGAACTCATGGCAATGCTTGACCAAACTGTGTCTGTGATGAGATTTTGAGAGGTTGCTAAGTGATTCATTCACAGAGCTACAGCGGTTTTTAACGGTTTTTACATGTTTTTAACCCTGTGAATTGGGTCGAGGTCCCGTTGGATCTCAAATCCCTGCCCCTCGGCAAGGCCTGTGATGATGGGAATCTTGCACTGGAAGATGGCTGCGATTCTACCTGCCAAGTGGAGGCGACACTTGCAGTGATCAGCCATGGGAACAAGAAAGGAAGCCGAATGGCCGAATTCCAATAAATTTCTAGATAAAGGAAGTCCAAAAGGAAGTCCAAAAGGAAGTCCAAACACTGCATTACCAGTGTAGGTGCCAGGTCACAGTTATTCATTGCAGAATTCTCTGAATTTGCTTGACTTGCCATGAGCAAGGACCAGTACATGTCAGGGTCGAACATAGAGATCTTGGAGATCATTTCAAATAAGTTCAATTCCATGAAGACCTTTGATTTGTTTTTTCAACATCTTGGGGCTGGGGATTGGCTTTTTCTTCAAAGATTAGTGGTCGTGGGTTCTTTTTCCCGCACCATGTGATATCATGTGATCACTCTAGGCTTTAGCAGTGATCCAGTCTTGTATCTAGAGGCGCCTTGACAACTCGTTGCAGGATGGGTGGTCATGCAGCTCCTATATCTATGATGCAACCAATACAACCTCGGTGTGCTCACCCATTTGTGGTGATGGCAAGATCAGAGGAGCCGAGGCAGGGTGTTGTGTCAGATTTCACGCTCTGCACAACGGGGTGTGAACAAAATCCACAGCAGCGCACTGCAATAGCATTGTCTTGGAGTCTTGCTGAAGAAACTCGGAAAAGCAAGACATTTCACTGCAATTCGCTCCAGCCTTGGCCATGTTTGCATCGGTTTGCATTTGCGTCTGCGGCCGTTTCGTCTCAAGATATCAGTGAGTGGCCTCGTGGCCTCGGCTTAGCCGGCTTTCGAGCCGCTTTCCTGAGGCCAGGCCGAAGGCACGTGGAGCTTTGCGCCTTCGGCACGCCGGCGTGGCACGTTCCAATGCCCGAAGCACGAGGTGTTGACTTCGAAGTGCTCCAGGTGCCCTTCGACGTCAGGGCCACAGCACTGGCTCCAGCTGGTGCTGATGGCCATTTCCTGGCTTATTGTCCCAACAGTGGATTTCAAGATATCAATTTAGTCGAGCAGAAAATGGATACTGCAATGAGCTTCACTGGCTCCATAAGCCCAGAGTTTGGCCTCTTTCCTTACAGTCAAGGAAATTCAAGCTGGATATCTTTCGTCGAAAATCCTCCAAAGTCATTTGTTTGTTACACATCTGCAGGGCAAGTCGCGGGACGCACTTCTTTTAACCAAGGCACAATTTCCGCAGTGTGTGGTGCTGGGGAGGCACTTGTGGCTTTGCTCGTCACCACTGGTCATATCAGGTTTGTTGACCTGACAACCGGCAAAGCTGCCGGCAAATCCACCAAACTGCCAGATATTCCCCGTGCTGACAGACCACCAACATTTTTTATCAACCAAACACAACCACGGCAAGTGGTTGTCATGAGACAAGTGCGTCCAGGCGCTGATGTGCACTTTTGGATTTGTGAACTCGATGAGCTGAACAATATCAATACAGGAGGGCGGCGAACCCTGAAGATCGGAGCTGTGGCACAGTCCTTGGGGGCATTCAATGACTTGGAATCTATTTCTGCAGGCTCCGTCAGTGGCGAGCTGATTTTGTGCTGGAAAGAGGAGCCATTGACCAATGGCTTCCTGAATGGGAAGAGCCATGGCTCACATCCACCCGCAAAGAAGTTTTGTGCAGCAGAGGTGCTTGGCAAAGAGCCAAAGGCTCGAAGACTAGGAGCATTTGCAGATGCTGCCATTCAAAGCTGGCACAGCATTGGGACATACTTCGTTGAGTTTTGGAGTCAAGAATCTGATAGTGCGGAAGCAGAATCAGCAGGTACCATGAAGTTTAGACTCCGAGATTCCAAGTTTGGTATGTTTGTGGGAGCTGGCGATGCGACTTTGGCAAAAGCACCACGTGGCAAGCTGTTAGTCGCCGCTTCTGAGAGATTTTCAGTGGCTTCTACCAACGGCTGTTTTGTAGGAATTCGTTGGACCCTCCCATCCTATGCCTTGCAACGATCCATCGGGCAGGGCGCAACTGGAAGAAGTCTTGCACCGAATTCTGAAGGAACTCCGGAGTCGAAGAAGAGAAAGCACCAGGACACGCAGAACACCGAGGGACTTCCTGACGTCAACTCTGTCAATACAGCTTTCATCGCAAATCTGATCCAACTCTGTCAGGGACCACGCACAAAGGATGTGAAATTTTTGAAACAAAAGCTGAAGCCGGAAAATCTTCAGTTCACTCTGCGGACTCTGGTTGGCTGGCTTGCGTTTCGGAGAGATTTGTCGGCAAATGTTATCCGTTCCAGCGCACCAGGCATACCAGCAACCCAGCAGATTGTGCGCTTTTTGTCGGTGCTCGCAGATGCATTTTTGCAAAGCATTGTGCAGTTGCCCACTGATGATGTTCAGAAGGCCGGTGGGCGATTTCGTATGAGGGTGTTGGAGCATACGATACGTAGCTAGACGATGCTACCCGGATATAACTCGGTTTTTTAAGATCAGCTTCACGATGACCTCAAGACATTTGCAAGCAACACATTTCTGGGTCCCTCACTGAACCTTGACATCGTTTCATCCCAAGAGTTTGAACAGCTTGGAAAAGCGACTTTTGACTGCAAAAACCAACAGCTCCCAGTAAGCATCAACACAGGATAATTATGTATAATGAATACTATGTGGTACTCTGAGCATTCACAATTTGACCAGGTTACTGGAGTGATGCTTCAGTTTGTTTGAAGTCCAAATCAACTCATCCATATAACGCCCATCAAATGGTAGGGCCACGCATATGGAACAAACACCTATCCAGCAGGAAAGTATTCCGGAGCCGAAACAGAATCCCCAAGTATCCCCAAGCTCAAACCATGCTCACAAATGTTTGCTGTATCCAGATGTCATGTCCTGAGCACCTTCATTGCGGTTTTCACAGGGTTGTGAAACATGCAAGGTCTTTTTGAATTTTGTCTTGATCCCTACTTGTAGCGTGTTGAGGAATTCTTTATCGTGCATTAGCATACATGTTATAGATGGCATACATGGCATACGTCATTCTTCCACGTTTTGAAGCAGCCGTGGACAGGTCATTGAACGATTGGTGACGGCGCAGAAGGAAGTCCTTTGCAATGAGAGACTCCTTAGCAGAGCCACAGCAGCGTGCTGTGAGAGACCACACAAAATCCCAAAGTCAAAGAGAGCTCGAGTGGAGGTTTCTATCCTGGATTTCTGACCATTCAGAGCAATAGATTTTGATGCATACTCATACTGTCGCTTCATTGCAGAATCAAGCCAATCAATTTAATATACGGATAGTTTGTTTCACAGTGCCGCCACCCATGCGGCCGCTCCTGAAAGGGAGATCCAAGCTCCATCCCAAAGGATATCTATCCCAACAGGTCTAAACTCTACACCAATGATTCACTGCATAGCAGGCACATGATTTCTGAGATTCCATCTCATTTGAGCTTGTTGAGCTGCGAGCTTGTCGTGGGCTTGGCAACCGAACTTGAACTGTTCGGACAGGAGGACATTTTGACGTTTTGCCGCAATCAAAATGCAGAGCGCTTGCCGCTGGGAGCTGTTGCTGGCGTCATAGAGGAGCTGAAACTCTAAATTTATGGGTATCAATCTATCTGAATTTATCTGAATCTATAGAACGAAAAAAACGATTGCACCTCTTGTGACCCATCTATAGATGCTACTGGAGCTGGTGCAGGCATGTGATGATGGCAATTTGGCGCAAGGTTGGACTTTCCGTCGGTGAAAGACCTGCTGTGTAACAAGCTGGAAGTGCTTACTTATCCAGTCAATCCAGTCTAACTTCTTCTGTAACTGTTGGCTAAACTGAGTTTATTTTTGCCTTGTGTCTAACTTGTAATCATGCTTCTGTGTATCCGAAGACTGCCACCAGTTCTTTTGGAGAATGACTGGCATCGACTGGCAAGTTGCCATGGAGTCATTTTGGAATTCTTCAGACCCACCGCGACCATACTCGAAGGTGATGGGTGTGACGAAAATTGCAGTGTGGAGGCGTGCCAACAGTGCAGAGATGTGCAGAGTGTTTTTCTGGCCTGGATTAAATCAAGAGCTTTATTAACATTTGCCAACGTCAACTCAATCACTGATCTAATCTCAAGACATTGCGTAATCGTCTATGCAACCCTGTCATGATCTTGTGGATAAAGAAGCCTTGGAAGCCTAGGAAGCCTTTGAAGATCAATGTTCATGTGTGCATACAGCACAAGCCTGCAGTTTTAGCGGACAATTGGAATTGATCTTTGGAGGCAGGATGGATTTGCTGCGACCCGGCCCCTGGCACAACAGGCCATGCCGGCTTTTCGTCAATATGGGACTTTGCAGGGGAGATGTGTTGGAAAATGATGGAAAATGTCTCCTGCACATCCTGCACATCCTGCGTGGTGCGGAAAGGTTCACGATGTTCCGTTGGCCTCCCCGTTGATCGGGATTCAATCTGTGGAGTAACCTGTGGCAAGGATCCCAGTGTCGCTTGATGACAAGTGACATATCTCGGCATCGGTGTTGTCTGGAAAGATTCGGAATGTAGAAATTCAGGCAATGGGCAGCGGGACAATGGAGAAGCGTGCGATGATGGAAATCTGATTGCAGCAGATGGATGTAGCCCAGGATGTGAGGCACCCTGGGAGCCCTGGGAGACTGGGAGACCTGGGGGACGGATGTTGCTATGGGCCTTGAAGATCATGGCTGCCATGGCTTTCGCTTCCCTTTTTACTCTCCAATCTCTCCACGCTTGATCTATAGTCTATAGAAGCCTGTCGATGTCTATAGATGTCTATAGATGTCTATAGGCTATAGATACTGAAGAAATCTGAAGACATGAACATGTATGTTCAATTGGGTCCCCGCATGCACGCAAGTCATCACTTCTTCTATCACCCGTTGAAAGGCTCAGAGAATCACAATCGCATGCACAGAAAATGCAGGAGAATCTGCATGTTACAGAGACTGAGTCTTTCTGCTGCCTTGTGACCTTTGTGCAGGTTGAAGCTGGTTTCGTTTGCATGCCCATGGGTCAACAAAGACCAGGCACTTGGACTTTACTTGAGTTTACGACTACGTTCAGAGTTCAGACATGTTCAGACTTCGTCTACGAGTGTTTCATTGAGAGATGATCTCTTGCCCCTTGTCCCCAGGCCGGAAGATACCCGATTTTTGCGAGGCTGGGCAACGCTTTCAACTTGTGGGCCAAGTATCGTCGAGTATCGTGGAGTATCGTTCCATCGTTCCGATGGCCAGGCAATTTGTGGCGATGGCCTCCTGGTTGTGGGTGAGGAGTGTGACGATGGAAATCAGGTTCTCTTTGGCCATGTCGATGGTGACACAGATCATTGTGATCATTGCATGTGGTTGCTTCCGTGATGCTCAACGTAGCAAACATCAAGCATCACGGAGCAAGTATGTAGCAAATTGATGCAAGTTGCAACTCTGCAAAGTTCGGGTCTGAGTTCACATGGTGCAGGTAAGTGGCGATGGCTGTGGTCGTCTACTCAGTGGCAGCCATAACGGGCAGACATTTCTATTTCGAATTGCGATTCGCCGATGAGGTCCCACCTGCAAGATCGAACAAAGCGGCACTGCCTGTCCTCAGCTCTCTGATTCAAACGGAGCAGTCTCCCGGCTAATCGTGGTGGAGAAGCTCGACCCACTGGACCTCAATCAGACTTGGACAGTATTGTATTGAAAAACATCTTGAAACTATGAACTTATATAAAAGGTATATAAAAGGTATTCAAAGATACCTGAACGAAAGATTCGTTTCCCTTAGCTCACTCATCGTCTCTTCGCTTTTTAGATAAACTTTGAATGAATCTGAGGTCTGTCGACCAACATGTGGAGATGGTATCCGCGGACCCGGAGAGGAGCAAAAGTGCCCTACCTTTGGGAGAGCCAGGTGGATTCCTGGATTCAGATGATTCAGGTAGATCTTGTTGGACTTTCAGATTTCAGGACTTTGCAGGTTGGACCTTATTTGGACTGGCTGACGCAGGTTTCTGCCATAATTGTTTCCTCCATGGCAGGAGTGTGATGATGCAAACTCCTTCAGCGGAGATGGCTGCTCAAAGGATTGCTTGGTGGAGAGGCCTGGGCGGCCTGGGATTGATCCTCAACACGATGGTTGCTCGGCCTTGGGACGAAGTTGGTGTTACAACTTCCAGATTTTTTTGGTCGTAGCTTTGTTTTGTCTGCCACATAGGTTGTGCCTTTTGCACTTTTCGCCTCTTCCAACCGCCAAAGTTCTGCACTGCACAGGGGATTCTTCTGCTCTGGCGGTGGAATGCGCTCGAGGGAGTCTTGGCTCACTGCCCAAAGTCCAAAGTCCATTTCTTGGGAGATTTTTTGGGAGATTTCTATGGATTTCCATGGATTTCTATGGATTTCTATGGATTTCCATGCCTTGGAGTGCGGAAGTCAGGACACGTGTTGGCCGATTTGTGGAGATGGCCTTCGAGTGGATCGGGCCTTCTCAGCGACATTAGGAGCAGATAAGCTGGAGGCCAAATGACCCTGGGCTGTGGCAACTGCAGGTTGTGTTGCCCAGAAGATAGGATTACAATGGATTATGGTATAAACAAATTGCAGGATACTAAGCCTCTTCAAGCTTCCTTTCAATTACCACACGAAAGTGCATGGTATAAAAAGGTATACGGTATAGGCAAAAAGCTTCTTGTACACATCCAGTCCAGCTCCTTTTCGATGTGTATGCGGGGCTTGAAACCTGGATGATTCTGCACCACCGCAGGGCTGTGACACTGGTGCGATCCCATCCAGAGGCGGGAAGCGATTCTCAGACATCCATCAACTGTTTAACATCCAGCAAGAGTCAATATCCATGATCATGAATTGTCAATTTGTTGGATATTCATATATTTGATATTATGTTTTTTAAACAATTGGAGTTCTTGGAAATTGTGTGAGGTACTGTGAAACAAATCCGCTTCCTGCTTTGTAAATCCCAGCCCAAGTTTGCAGGATGCGATGCTGCCACGTGTCAAGTACGACCAGGCACGCAATTTGAATTACAGGCAAACAATAAATAAGACACAATAAGAAGAATATCACCAACAAATATCAATAAATAATGATATAAAGAATACTATTGTAATTAATAACACTAATGATGATAATTGATAGTTAATTCATAACTATCAATCATAGATATCACCTGACCAAGCATCAACAGTTCTCTTTGGTCATTTTGCTTAGCACAGGTTGGACATGTGCAAGGCCATCAGGTCCTGGCGCAGAGGTGCTCATCAGCTCGTGAGCTCGTGACACTGGACATGGAGATTCTCTGGAAATTCTCTGGACATATGATATATGTATATGATATATATATATATATGATATATATGTATATGTATACTCTCAAGATTGGTAGGGAGGCCGATCCTTGAGAGATACCCAAATCCCTCTCTATCCAACAACTGAAGGAAGATCCACACTGAGATGTAGTTGAAAGATCCCTGATCTGTAAACACCTATGTGCCCTGCACAAACACCAATCGTAGCACCTTTTTATGGCTGACAGCGAAGCTCAAAATGTCCCACCCTCCGCTGGGCAATGCCTGAGCCCACCCTTGAGCTGCAGAGATGCACGTAGCTGATGATCTCGAACAGGCATGCACTGAACATCATTGCTTTGAAATTCCTTCTATCTATAAAATTGTTCGAGATACAGCGGTTCCTCACGCTGAGTCTTCAAGATTCTTTCCCATCTGGCGTACAATGAAAACACTGTTGTCAGTCAACTTGATTCCAGTTAGGACGTCTTGGCTTTTCCTATCAATGAATCCCCTGTTGTAGAATCCTGAGACAAATTGCGAAGCCACTGCATTCGGGCTCTCGAGTCGGAACGGGCACGGAGGATCTGGTTTTCGTCATGTAGGCTGTAACGACCACGGGACAGGCATTCACGCAATACCGCAGCATCCATGATCTTTGTCAGAGCATCTGCCAACTGTGCTTGTGATGGTACCCATCTGATTTGGATTCCATTTCGAAGGTGTTCCTTAATCAGTTTTGCTTGTAATTGAGTTCTGAATTCACCGCAACTGGGTGGGGCATGTCTACTGATCAAGTCAAAAAGTGATTTGCAATCTGTGGTGATAATAGATTGAGTCTTTTCGGGTAGTTTTGAAAGTACATTCTGAAGTGATAAAGGTGGTTGTGAATCAGTGGAATCATCTGTTGGAGGAATCGCTGCAAACGCCGGAGGCAACCGCAGTAATGTTTCATCCGCCAACTGCCACTTGCAATTGCCGTCACGCAACCAGGCCCAGTAAAGACGCAGCCATGTCAAACTGTCTACTGCACCGGCCAATGACATAGCCTCAGCAGACAACGTACTGACTACAACCTTTTGTATCTTCTTCGAATGCCATATGAGAGGATTCACTGGGCAGCTTTGGTTCTCAGCAATCTTTTTATGGCTGGCCATGATCATCATTCCTTGATGTGAGTCAGGATTTTTGCTGGATGCGAATGAAGCGTCGGAAAATGCTACAAATCGAATGTCGTTAACGGGAATAGGTTGGAATTTGATAGTTACATCTGAATGGACTTTGGTCTCATGAAGTATCTTGTTACCTTCACTGAGAGTGGCAATGGTTGCTTTGTTGATTTGTGATTGTAACCATCCGAGCCTGGACGCAATATCCGGTCTTGTGTTGACTGCGGCATACTGTAGTGATCCCACAAGTGCTCTCAGTCCCTGACGCTCTTCTTCAGTGACAGGTGCCGTCGGAGTCAATTTTCGTTCTTTGGCAATCTTAATTGGATGTATATCTTTGACATACTGTTCTTGACTAACCCAAATAGATTGATCCAGTTTCTGAGAAATTTTCAACCCTGTGAACGTGAAATCTCTCCTTTTCTTGCTACCAAACGGATATTTTCTTTCAAGTTCTAAGAGTTTTGCATGAAATTTGGAGGATCCACAGCACAAACCATCATCAACATGTATGCCAAGGATTCCCTCGGGTTGCTGGTTCTCATTCCTAAGCACAAAACAGCATGGATCAAACGGTGCAGAAACAAATCCTAAGGACTCGAGGCTTTGTTTGAGTTCTTGAAACCAAAGAAAGGGAGCATCAACTCGGCCATAAGCTCCTTTAAGCAACTGCACAATCTCATTCTGTTTCAGTTTCATTTTTGTCCTCATCTCCTCAGGTGGTTCCATGCCCAACAATCGTGATTGCTGTTCAGTACCCCTCAGGAACGCCGTCTTGATGTCAAAACTGTGAATGTCCCAACCCAAACTGGCAGCATGTTGAAGTATCAAAACACGTGACAACTTTGACATCGTAGGGCTATCCCGTGGAATCTGATCTACCATTGGATCTTCGAAACCCAACACCACCAATCGTGCTTTGGCCTTACGACTTGGGTGCATGGATGTCGACTTGGTTTCCGCATTGGTTTCATCGGCTTCTTTCCAAGTGAGTATCCATCGACATCGAAGTATGCTTTCTTTGGGAATCTGGTGACGCAACACCCTTGAGACTGTCTCAGTGGAAAGCCAGCTCTCGACTTCTTTTGTCTTAGCTTCTGCAAACATTTGTTTTTCTGCAGGACTAAGATTTGAGATTCTCACTTCACTGCGCTGGCGTTTTGCAGCTGATACCAAGAAAGCCATTTCAGATGGACGGACTTCTTCCTTCCACTGATTGATATCTTTTTGATTGATGTCAACTTCAAAACGGAAAGCTTGTTCTTCATGAAGAGTATAGATTGGATATTCTTGGGCATATAAACCATCTTCCTCATCTGATGTTTCAGGCACTGGGATTTCAAAAGCTGGTGTATTTTCAGTGGTTGTATGGTTGGAATTGTCATTTGGGTTTTCTGATGGAATTGAGACAATTTCAGGTTCGGTGTCAGGTTGGTCATGAGGTGACTCAGGAACATTTTGTCCCGAAGGGCTACTTGACATCGGAGCTTGCAAGGTCACGCTTGGCTCTACTTCCGGCATTGAGGCACTTGGAATGGCATGGTTCTGGCCCTGTGAGTCATCTACGGGTTGAGGAGGCATCATGTCATGAAATTGAACTCCACCATGGGCAGGCCTGATTGATGATTGATCTCTGGATTCAATTGCCGTGGAACTGGGTTGATATCGGTGTTCTTCCATGGCCATCAAGCTTCTGAGGTGTTCTGGTGCAATTCGGTACAGTTTGTGATGGCGTGTTACCCAAACAGTGTTTTGACCTTCTTGGATGATTACTTGTAGTGGCCCTATCCATGATCCTTCTGCCTCACCTTTCTTCTTCCACATCATGACCCACTCACCCTTTTCATAGAACCCTCTATGTGGCCTGCTCCGCTGGACAATGGCCCTTCTGAGAGTCTGGTCATTATCCACCATGGCAAATGCCTTTCTTGCGGATTCTCGGAGGGCCAGATCCTGTCGAAAGCGCATTCCGTCAGGTTGATTTGACAGAGCAGCAGCATGTGCGGCAACAGTTGGATCAGAGGTCACTGATCCTGGTACCCGCACCCCTTTTCCAAAAACCAACATTTCTGGAGGAAAACCCCGGTGTCGGCTCCATTGATTCTTTGTACTGGTTACATGGCTAAGAGCTGCTGACATTTGTTCATAGGTGGTGATCGGTTGTTCCAGGTCAACCTTGTTTAACATCAACTGCAAGATGCCGCCATGACGCTCTGTACGTGCATTTTGCCAATGGGCTTCGGCAGCACAGGTTCGGCATTTCACGCTGTGTCTCTGGAGAAAGGAGCTGAATTCATCTGAGTTCAACTCCGTTGCAGCATCTACGCACAGGAGATTTGGAGGTCCAGCCCAATTGAACCATCCTGTCAACAGGGCTCTGCAGGCATGATCAGTTGTATGACCTGGCGATACAACGGCAGTGTTGAACATGGTGCTTTGATCTAGAAAATGATAAAAGTGAAATTGACTTCCTTGGGAATTCGTCCACGTGATACCATCCATAGAAACAACATCCCCAAAATCGCATGGCTCATGAATCGCACTTGGTCGAGAAATGACTGGACCCCTGCTCTCCTGACATACGGAACATTGGATGTCTCGAATGGCTTTGAGAATCCTTTCAGGACACTGCAACTGTCGGCAAAATTCCGTCAGCTTTGCATGACCAGGGTGGCCAAGATTGCGGTGCAATTTCAAAAGCCAACTCTGCTCATCACGGTCAAGTTGTAAAAATTCTGGTCCATGCTTTTGGCTGGCTAAATCAACGATTTGATGGGGAACCTCTGATGTCTCAGTTTCTGCCGTTCTTTCACTGGACTCATGGGAAACTTCAGAATTATTTCTACCATTGTCATCAGGATTACTTATGGGGTGGAGGTTATGGTTATTCAATTCAGGGTTATTATGGTGAGGCTTCAAGTTGATGTCGGCATTGGGAGTGGCATCAAGGTTTTGTGGTCTTGGTGTGGTACTGGCTGTCTCTGGTCCATTCCCAGTTGGATTATGATGCATACGCTTGGCAGCAGGTGGTTGGCTTGCACCTTTTGTCTCCAGCGGTCGCCGGTGACTACTCGGGGAAACACTACCATCACCCGTGTGAACGGGCACAGCTGAACTTGGCACCTCAGGTTCTTTGACTGATGCAAACACTGTCATGCTGACCCGGGCTGATTGCCCCTTCCTACGAAGACCCCTTTGAGAAAGGTTTTCCCAGGCCTCCCAGTCATCAACATGAAGATCTTCAGATCGGCGCTTGATACAAACTTGCCTACGTAAAGGAGCAAACCCTGGTGGAATGGCTCTGTTGGGTCCCACGTATCGATCTGTACCTCGACACAACACAATGTGGCGAACATGATGTTGAGGACACAAACTTTGAACTTGTTCAAACAATTCGCCGGCTTCGACAACTTGAGTTCCAACCCGTGGTGCGGTGCGATCAGCAACTTTCATTGCCGACAACCAGGTGATGGTGGCTTCCGGAGGCTCAGCAAATCTTTCGGCAATGGCTTGAGGGCTCAATTTACTCCCCAATCGACGGCGTTTGGTGGGATGATCGTCGATTGTCTCACCAACCATGGCATAACATCGCTGACCTTGGTCATGGAGCATGATCTTGGCAACCTGCTTTGCAAATTTTTGGGGATAGAGTTCGGTGAACTGTGACAACTTCACTGTGACACCATGGATCTTTGTGTTTCCAGCGATGTTCCGATGGTGGTGTTCACCATTGCACATCTTGCCATGCAGCGCAACATGCATGTCCACGGATGTGGAGCAAACAGCCATCCTTTTGCGGATCGGATCATGAGTCTGTGGATCTCGGAGATCCCCCACCTTACACATGTCAAACTCATTCCAGAGAGTCCCTTGGAGAATCTCGTGCATTCCCGGTGTCTTCATGAGTGCTGATCCACGAGGTTGTTCCAAGTCAAAATGGTTATGATGTTCTTTCTGAAAACGATACAAAACCACTGCCAAGGAAATCTGCCAAAGCTGTTGCTCTCGTTTGTTCATCACTTGTTCCCACCCTTCAAGAGACCTATTCATGTTGAATTGACTCCATTGACACCATGGACCACATTCAGGACTTACCCATACATGTTTTGGTTGCTGGGTGGCTAAGATGGTGAAAAGTCGCCTACGGCCTTCCACTGTGTTGAGATCACCTTGCAAACGACCAAACCTTTGTGCCTTTCCTCCAAGCCTCTGCATTTGTTTGGTGAGTTCACTCTCCCCAGAACACATGACTTCTAGCAAATCAAGTCTCGGCTGCTGACATCTTGGCTTGGATCGGACTTGGATGACAATGTCATGCAGTTCTTTGGAAAACTTTCGGACATCACGTTGAATCCGGGCTTTGAAACTATTGTGCCCTTGATTAGGAGTGAAATCAAAATCCAAGTCCACATCGCGATCATGCACGTGAACATCAGCAGAACAGGCACTCTCTACAGCTCGGCTTTCACACTCAGTTGACGTACATGCATGAGAACCTCCTGCATGGCCATCTCCATGTTCGTGATGCGACTCGCCAACTGCTTGTTCTCCATGGAGAGATTTCCCACTTGTTCCTCCACCTGTTGAATCTTGGCCGGAGCTGGCATTTCGAAGAAGGTCTCCACTGGATCCAGTTCTGAGATCTGATCCCACACATCGGAGTCGGCCGAGGCGGTGGCTCGGCACTCCTTCATCTTCTCGGATTTCTTGGTCTGGTTCTTGTTCATATCCTGGGCGATCTCGTGATCCAGACGCTTCAGGACGTACTGGACATACATCTGGTGCTGAGGCTTCGGGCTTTTCTCGTAAGCTCGAATGAACCAGTCGGTCCATGATTGGTCCCCGAACACTTCGGGAAACGTCTGTCCCATCTTGGCCTTGCCGAACGCAATGCGTTCTTTGGCCAATTGCTCCAGGGTCATCTCCCGGATGCGTCCCAGCTCGTCCTTGGACTCGGTCTTCTTCTGCCCCTCGCGATACTGAGTCAACTTGGTGGCCACGCTGGACATGGTGAACGTCACTTATGTGCTGAGCGTCGGCTTCACACAGGCTACTGCTTGGTTGTGAAAAACTGTGAGGAGCATCATGAGGCCTACCATGCATGGTCATGTGATTGCGATTGTTTGCACTCTCTGTCATGGACCCTGCGGGATCTTGAATTTCCTGACATGAATCTTCACCTGTGACCTGATTGACCTTCTCTGGTGACAACCCTGGACTTGCACTCTCGGACGACTCTGGCATCGGACTGCTGACTGTGTTTTGGATTGGCACCTGAAGACAAGTAAATCCAGTCGCACTAGATTTCTGTACTGTTGGTTCTTCATTGGGTCCTTGCCATAGTTGACTGATGTCCATGAGGAACAAATTTTTGCTTGACTGGGATACCATCAATTCTTTGTTCAATGATTTGCTCCACAAAACCCCAGTATCAGTGTCAATTACCGCTTTGATCCCTTTGAGAAACGAACTTGACAGCAAAAATGGAGTTTTACCTGGAACGATTGCTATGCGAAACTTGGCATGACCCAGCGGCAGCAACAAGGCATGTCTACTGGTGAGAGTCTGCTGGTTCCCGAACCTGAACGTCAAATTGCAAGTGGTCCTTTGAATTTGGCTTTGGATCCTTTCAGGCAGGTTCTGAATCAGTTCTTTAACTTGGGCATCACCTATCACAGTTTGAGAAGCTCCAAGATCAACTATTCCTACAGTTCCTGCTGTTGCAAAATGAACGTCGCAGATCTGGGTGTCTACGGCAGCTTCGGACGGATGCAATGGCTTCAGAGACATATGCTCTGACTCGGGGCAGGCAGGCGCAGGTGTCAGAGACTGTTGCTCTAACTCGGATCGGATGGGCACTCGGGCTTCAGATGATTTCTTGGTCCTGTCGTGGCGTTTCCACTGAAGGTGAAAACGTTCAGCAAACTGAAGTTTATCCATCATTATCTTACCCCGATTATCCCCGGTCCTACGGTTACCCCCTTGAGAAGTCATTACCCCAAAACAGGCTTGTTCGGCTTGTGGGTCCTGATCATCCACGATGGTGAAATGGGCAATCTCCTCAGGCACTTCTTCGGCAATGACCACAGAGGTCGGGGCAACATTGGCAGCTGGATTGGAGTTGGAACTGCTTGAATTTCCACCGGCACGCTGTGGACATTCATTCTTCCAGTGACCCTTCTGCATACAGATTCGGCAAAACGAATTTGCAATGCGTCGTGCCAAAGAACCTGGACCAGAGAAAGGCGATTTGCCTTTGCCTTTTCCTTTTCCTTTCTTTCCAAAACCCTTATCAGAGCGGCGATTGATTGGCCAAAAGCCACGAACCTTCACCCTTTCACTCAAGCGGCGTCTGGCCTCTTGGTAATTGGAGTAGTATGCAGCTAACTCTGAATCGGATTGGATCGTTTCTGAAATCGAATCTTCAAATTGCATCACAAGAATCGCATCTTCATCATTCTCAGCGGCCAGTGTCTCAAGAATGTCATCTTCACACAGATCATCTTGCAGGACGAAGGCTTCCTGTTCATGCTCAGGTTCATCATCCATATGCAAAGCAGTGTGATCATACGTCTTTCCGACTTTGTCTCTTCGGATTCCAGTGTAATCTTGAAAAAAACCTGACCCAAGGAGTCGAATGGCTGCTGTCACGTTCTTCATGGTCAAGGAGCTATCTGAAGCATCTTTGGATTCTACAATCACCCGTTTCTTGTCCTCAGGGGGCAATTTGCTCCCTCGAAGAACGATGTATGCTTGCAGTTCACTGAGTGACATTTTACGGGACAGCAGTTCTGTCCAGATCACATCACATCTCGAAAGATATGAATCAGAACTCTCATCGGCTTTCTGGATGCTGCGAAACAGTGCACGTTCCGCCAGTTCAAACTTCTTCTCAATTGGCACTTGTCCCCAAGTCCCCCCAACTACTTCCACCAAACGTTGAATCCCTTTTTCATCATTTGTAAGGACCTCATGTCGGAGCAGCTGTAGTTTCTGGTATGCCGTGCCCTTGCATCCCAAAATCAGTCTTGTTGCTAACTCATTCAACTTGGAAGGAGGCCACGTGGTCAAAAGAAGTTCAACCTTGCTTGTCCAGATGTCCACATTATCTGTTGACGGATCAAAACTCGGAACCAGGCTTGCAAGTTCCTTTGGAACATAGGAGGCGGCATCCCCGCCTGATGTCTCACTCATGTCCAAACAGAGTTCACCTCCTTGTCCTTGTCCTCAAAGATCTTGGAGCTAGGTCCCTGCTGGAGCGGTCGACCAGGCGCTCCGCTACCAATCTCAAGATTGGTAGGGAGGCCGATCCTTGAGAGATACCCAAATCCCTCTCTATCCAACAACTGAAGGAAGATCCACACTGAGATGTAGTTGAAAGATCCCTGATCTGTAAACACCTATGTGCCCTGCACAAACACCAATCGTAGCACCTTTTTATGGCTGACAGCGAAGCTCAAAATGTCCCACCCTCCGCTGGGCAATGCCTGAGCCCACCCTTGAGCTGCAGAGATGCACGTAGCTGATGATCTCGAACAGGCATGCACTGAACATCATTGCTTTGAAAGTATACATATATATATATGTGTGACTGTGACCTGTATAATATGAATAATATCATCAGCTGTCATATTACATACTGTATTTATTCAAATTTTGTATCTATATGTCTTGATATGTCTTGATATTGGTCCTCCAGAGTTTTGACTTGCAGTTGATTCCTCACTGTGCATCTGCAGGTTTGCAGTCCTGTTTGCGGGGACGGAATTGTCATCTCGCCCATGGAAGAGTGTGACGACAACAACAACTTGTCAGCAGCTTGAAATCACCCATAAATTAACCAGCAGCTTGAAGTGGGTTCCCCGATCACATATTACTTTGTTCTTTCTTGTTCTGTCATGAGCTTATGTGACAATGACAGACGTTTACCTTAATTAAGATAGGTCACTGGTTTAGAAAAACTTGCAGGACTCTGACTCTGACTCTCTCTCTCTCTCTATCTCTTCGGCCGGATTCAATGTCTTGCAACGATGTCTTGCATCCTGTCCTGGTCCAACCCCTTTGACCCTTTGACCTGTGTCTTCTATTTGGATCGGTGGCCGGATCTGAGGCCCGGTGATGGGTGCAGTCCAGACTGCAAGGTTGAAGCACTCTACGAGTCCAAGACTTACACTGCTTATATACACATCCTTGGGGCCTTGACTCTCTTGATTGAGTTGTATCCATCTAGATCATCTAAGCATAGCATGGCAAACATTTTCTCACACTTTTTTTGCTGAGGTGTTCCTACAGCAGTTTCTTTCTGCGTTCGGTTTGCCAAATTCGATGTGGAGCCATGGACCCAGGTTGGCAGCTTTGGAATCTTTGGTTTTTCGGACCGCATACCTTGCATCCCAAACTGGAAATCCTTTGGATGTCCTCCGTTACCATACCAAGGATGGTCGAAAACATCCATCAGAGGCTTGTGATGATGGCAACAACTGGGATCAGGACAGCGAAAATCTGAATGGAAACCAGTGCAGCAACTACCAGTGTTACTAGTGTTGCGGGCGCTGCTGGTATAAGCGGTATAAGCTGGGTTTCATTTCTTCTAGTAAGGAAGCTGTCATATGTAACTACATACTACTACACATATCCGCTCTCTACTATCATCTCTTTCCTCACCCTTTTTGTATATGCTGGACTTTTCGTTCACTTTGTTCGCAGGATGGCTGTTCCTCCGACTGTCAACTCGAACCTGGCTTTGAATGCCTTGGTGGGACCTTGACTTCACCGTCTCAATCTCAGACAGAAAATTTGCTGCAAAAATGGATGCTTTACTCTCCTGGTATGGTCAGGTCTGAATGCAAGCCGATCTGTGGCGATGGCTTCGAGGTGGAATCTTGCATGGATCAGATGAATTGAATCGGAAGTGGAATTGAGATGAAAACATCTCAGAGATTCTCTGAGCATTTCTGAAGTTTGGGACATTTTGGGACTGTGAAGATTGTGAAGGGAGGGCTGGAGGGCTGGAGGGCTGCTGTTCTTTCAGAGCGACGCGACCGTCACCAGGTTCACGGAGAAGGCTGCGACGATGGAAATCTCGTCCCCTGGGATGGCTGCAACCAGTTTTGCCAGGCGAGTTGCCACGGCATATGCCGTGTGCCATGACTCGTGACTTATGACGTAAAATCTCGTAAAATATCGTAAGATCATAGGTTCTATATTATATATATAATTATCATAATCATGATATGGTTCTAACTCAGAAACAACTCATAGAGGACATTAAAGGACCATACAATACCATACGCATACGAACGTATTCTGTAAGCATATATAACACTACATAACCACCTGATGCAATGGCACTGCAGTGGTTCACATTGCCACGTGGCTCAGGTGGAGGACGGCTACCACTGCACTCGAGCTCCTTCTCCAGGAGGTCAAGGCTGGTCTCAGAACAAAATCTGTCGTAGCTATGAAAAGCGTAGTGTGAAGCTGAATTATCTCAAAATTAAGAAAAGTGACTGAATGAACTACAGAATCTTACAAGTATCTTATAACTCTCATTCCAGTGAACACACACACACATATATATACCCATGCATTGAGTTTGGCAGGCTTGGGTGTGCATGTATCATCTTTAAGTGTTTCAATGAATGCTACCATTTTGGCTCAAGTAAACTTGAACCAAAATAGCATTCATTGCTGTTTTCTTTCTTGGTCTTGGTAAGGGGTGACCTTTCCAGACCTTGATTGGGTGGTTCAAATTATATACAAGGGGCGACCTTGTATGCAGCGCAAACTCCCAGGAATCGATATCCCGGCAGCCACTGAGGCGAAGATCCTTCATGCTGCTGCTTTCCTGGAGTTCAAGAGCCACGTGGAAAGGCTGGCGCGGGAGGGCTCTGATGCTGCAGCATACACATGCTGGATGCATGGCATTGAAGTGTTGCATTCCCCCTACGTCATCACGACTGGGACAGATTCAGAGCTTTTCCCCCCCCTGCCGAAGCTACCCTGTTGCCTTGATGACTGCCAGCGTTGCGCAGCTCATGTGGGGGGGTTCAAGTTCCCGTGGCTCGGCTTGTGGAACAGCCGTGGCGTTGTGCTGCCCGATGATGTGGCGCCTGCGGATGCTTGGGCGTACTACTACCAGCACCAGGACCCCATGGACCTGCTGCTGGTCGCTGCCTATACGAAGCACAAAGTGGCCGCTGACATCGTGCCCCAGGATCTCTACGGGTTGCAGCTCAGGTGCTCAGCGGGCGACGCTGGGCAACTGGGCTTGGGGGAGCTGTTCGATCAATGGAGGAGCTGGCTCAGATGCACAGGCCCTCACGAGCTCCTACCGGTCTTCCTCGAGCCGCGGCATTTCCCCAGAGCACCTAGGGGGCGACCCTGGGTGGCCTGGGGGAGAGAAGGCGCCAGGGCACATCGAGCGCTATGTGGATGGCTGGAATGCCAGGATGCAGGCATGCTTCAGCTGGGCACCGCCTGCACAGAGTGCGGAGATCCCACCAGGCGCGTGTGCTGGGCATGCTGCGTCGGGATGTGTAGTGACTGCTTCACCTGGCGTGAGCCATGCAGCACTTGTGGAGGACGTAAGAAGATGTTTGCTGCAGGTTGATTTTATGACAGAGGAGGCACCTCTGAAGTCACCGCAGCATCTTTTTGCTCTCCGCACCTTAGCAATCTTGTTAGGGTGCAGCGCCATGGCATCAGGCGGCAAAGGCTACTATGCAGCTCAAGCGGCAGCTTCGTCCTCGTCAGGGGGTGACCCTGAACCGGGATGGAGAGCAGCCGACTCCTTGATGATGATAGCTGCACAGCGTGCGCGTCAATGGAGGGAGAACGAAGGCCTCCTGGACGACAACGACTTCGCCTATGCCTACACCGACTACGATCAAGTCGTTGGACTAGCTGGCCATCACGTAGCAGATGACTGGCTGCAGACAAGAGCAAGGGTGGAAGAGCACCTCCTTGCTGCTGGGGCCAAAGTCGTGGAGGACAACCCCAAGGGTTCCGTCACTCTGCGCCCTGTGCGCAAGACAATCTACAAGAAAAAGCCCAAGGCCGTCAACGTCACCAAGAACCTGGATGAGGCCGTCCAAAAGCGGGTGAACGGCTTGGTGTCGATGTTTGTCGGAATGGGCGCATACAAACCAGCTGGCATCTTGACAGACACCCTCAAGGCCGAATGGAAACAAACGTGCAAGAGGATCGCCGAGAAGAAGGTGAAGGACGCGGAGAAGGCGACCATTGACCGAGTGGTCAACACCTGGTTGGAGCTGAGGGCCTTCTTGGAGAGTCGGGGGCGACCCGCTCCTCCTGGAATGGTCGACCTGGATCAGTTCCTCAACCACACCCAGGCGCCAGCACGAGCACTCCAAGCCTTGAAATGGATGAACAAGAATGCCGACCAAGACATGGAGCTGGGAAACTTGCAAGTGCCTACAACACCCAGGGCGACTGGGCAGCGTGGGCAAGCACCGGTGGTGGAGCCGCCATTAGTGCAGGCCTTGGAGGACCGCATCACGGAGTTGCACGCGGTCGGCGATGAGAGGTGGTCAGTTCTTCTGGCTCCTTGGATCATGTCGTTTGGCTGTTTGAGGTATGCGCACATCGCGCGGTCAGAACCTCGGCGCCTCACCGCTGCATTCCTCCATTGCAGGTGCCCTAAGGGAAAACAAAAGCATGCCCGCGAAGGTTTCGACTTTGCGGTGCCGGCCACATTCGCCAACGGCTTCTTTTGGGCCAAGGAAGTGCTGGAGGCATACAGGACGCTGGCACCAGCAAGGCAGAGACTTGCAGGCCTTTGTTTTTCGGACGAAGGGCGCCCATGGACGATCCTAGAAGTGCAAGAGACGATGCAACAGGAAATGTCCGTGTTCCTCGACAATCCAGAAGATCTGACCACCTACAGCTGGAGGAGGCTTGCACCCACGGTGGCCCAGTTGTTAGGATGCAGGCCTGAAGAAATGGCAGCCCTGGGCGACTGGCAAAACAAGAGTGAGCAACCAGAGGTGGGGGCGATGGCATTTCACTATTCTTCGGCAAAATACGCCGCGTCGGTCAAGGTGAAATCCCTGATCTGGGGCGCTACGGCCAAGCTCGCTAGCAACCTGCTGTGGGAGGCGATCCCGCAGGCAGAGCTAGATGCAGCCCGAGCTCATGGCCTTACTGAAGCTGACAGGTTGCTGCGACAAGACCGCCAACCTATTTGGGCCTCTGCACATAGCTTCCAGGACGTGAAGAAGAGGCTCAAGTTGTCACAGCAGTTTGTTGAAGCGGCACAGCAAGCCCGGCAAGAGGCCGTAGCCGCACCGGCACCTCAGATGCCTGATCAACTCAATGGCAAGGTGCTGACGGCCACTTTGAAGAATGGTAAGGCCATTTGCCCGGAGTTCCAGACGGACGAGTGCCCGAATCCGGCAGACTCCTGCCCCTTCGGAGTGCACTTGTGTGCCATTCTACAAAAGTCAGGACGGGCATGTGGTGGCAAGCACGGTGCAGGCGTCTGCAACATCAAGCGGGCGGTGTTGGCCGCAACAGCAGTGCCAGCGGCACCCAAGCCATCGGCCACCTTGGTGCCGGCAGCCGTGGGGGAGAAGGCCACTTTTGGCCGGAAGAGGACCGCGGCGAGCGGTGCCACTGACGACGAGATGGCCGAGGTGATGCGCGCAGCTGTCAAGAAAGCCCGAGGTCAGGCTGCACCCAAGACTCCGCCCAAGGCGCCAGCCATTGCAGCCCCCAAGACACCTCCGAAGGCTGCAGCCACTACACCTAAGCCACCGGCCACAGCTGCGAAGTCCAGGGCTACAACCACAACGCCGAAGCGCTTGGCCGCTCCTGGGAAGCCACAGATCAAGGCCATGCCAAAGAAAGGCCATGGCAAGGCAGCAGGAGACACCTTGGACCTCCACTTGGAGCGGTTGGGTGTGGGCTCAGGGACAGCCCAGGCCCCGACTTGCATCTGGACATCCCGGAAGGGTGGTGGCATCTACCTGGCAGGACTTCCAATGAGGCAGACGGTGGACAAGTTCCCCAAGACAGCGTTGCAGATCTGCTGCTTCCCGAATGGTCCTGAGAGCCGGGGGGGGGTGACCCTCCCGGGAGCTCAGTTGATGACCTTCGCGGCGGCATACAGCCAGGAACGCAACGAACAGTGGACAGACGTGTGGCCGGCCGTCAAGAACACTGTTTGGCACGGCGACAACGTCGTGGTGCACTGCATCAAGGGGCGACACCGGGGTGCTTTCTTAGGCATCCTCTGCCGTGCATTGCTGGCCGGCGAGTCCATTGAGGATGCCAACCACTACGTGGAGAGCCGCAGGGATACAGAGCTGAACAAGGTCATTCGCGACCAAGGCATGCGGAAGTGGCTGCACAAGACCTTCCAGGACACCGCGGTGGGAACACAGCACCCCGAGCCGCAGGGATATGCAGCTACGGAGAGGTCCAGCACCCATGTCACGGTCGAGGACGGCATCACCTTGTGCCAGCACAAGCAGGCCGATGGGAAGGCGAAGCGCCTGGTGAACCCATACATGTCCACGGACGTCTTTGAAGCTCTGGCATGGGAGCGCCCCTGGTGTGACCAGTGCCTCCGTCGAGCGCCAGCGTCATGGTGGCCGCCTGCCTAAGATGCCCAAGCCGAATTTTTGGCCTTTGCGCTGATCAGCAGCACTGGCCCGTTCCGGCCATGGAGAGCCGAATTCATCAGCTCGGGGCTTGGATAAGAGCTTCAATCCAGCCTGCATGACCGCCCCCAGCAGTAACATCATGCGCGAGAGGAAAATAGTAGAGCCAGGTGACTTTCAGTGGGGTGCCCACTGAGCAAGTGCCGTGCCCTCATGTCCTTTCGTTGTGTTTTTCAAGTTTTTCCTTTCATGACAAAGCACAAGACCATCTGGGAGGGGGACCTCAGATAGTCTAGTGTACCATAGCTCTGTGGCGGCATGAAGGTGATGTCATGTGAGGTCGCAACATTGCTGTGCGTTGTACACATGTCCAGATTTCACATCAGTGTATGTCAGGGTCCATTTATTTCATGCCAAGCCAGGCTGTTCCAGCACAACGCACGGGGGAGACCCGAGGCGCAGTTTTCAGTCAAAGGGAGGGGATCCCTGGGCCTTAGCTAGAGGGGTGTCCTCGAGAATAGGCCATGGAGACTGATAAAGTCCCACTGGAAAAGGGTTCCCCAGAGGAAATCCTAAGGAAGTTGGGTGACAACTTCTCGTTGGATGATGGGGTAATTACAGCCCTGCTCCGGTTGGGCGTCGAAAGTTTGCAAGAGTTTCGTTTCCTCTGGGCATCGGAGCAAGCCATTGAGCCCTGGGTTGCTAAGCTGGGCCTGGGGGATAAGGCACTGCTGATGACGGCTCGAGTCCGCAGAGCATGGGCCGCAGTGGGACTCTACTATCGTCAGGTGGAGCAGGATCGATCCAAGATTGCACTGTCGGACTTGGACACCATGCTTGGGGAGACCGAGCTGCGCGACACCAAGCAGCAGTTTTGGAGACGCTACA